TTAATTGACCCCCTGCCTCATAAATAGCAAAGTGAAAAGCCAGCAGTGCAATGATATAAATATGAAGTGTGTGTTATAGCATCTTCTCACAATGAGGTAAGTGATTAAAATAGTCAAGTTGTGTTTGAATTTTAAAGTACTCACACAAATCCAGACAATAATGTGAAAAGTATTTTGAATATCCAGCATCAACTCTTCTTTAGGTAATTGGAAATTGGCGTTTAATTGCCATTTTAGTGGTAAAATTCGTGGAAGTGAGCTAATTGTTTAGACTCTCTAATTCATCAACTATGGAGTCCCTTGATTTGACTATTGAAAGTGATTCTCAATAAATGTTACATTTCTTTCCAGAGTCTCTAATGTAAATCTTCTCCATTCACATAAAATATATTGGTCCTGCTATATGCAACTTGCTATATGAAGTCAGTTATTAAGTAAAAAAACAGCCTTTATGCCTATTGTTAAGACATATATGGGAAGCAGTTGAAATTAGAGTCTTATCTCTTTCATAGTTTTTAGTATTAGACATACATTCACTTTATTTATCTTCTCTTAAAGCGACTTAGTAAATCTGAGTGACTGATGAAGCTGAATCAGAGTCACGCTTCAGCTTAAGAAAAATGAAAACAAAAGTAGACCAACTCTCAGTGCATGAACTTCAGAGGCCACTCGAAAACTAGGTCCAACCATTTTAATAGTTTGTGCTCATTTAATAACTCTCATTTGCTATTTTACTCATTTTATTTGAATTCAATTGAAGTTGGCATTCTTACTAATTCTGAACCAATGAATGTGTTCCCCAAAAAGAGTGGCATAAATGAGAATGTACTGCTTGAACTTCTTAAATTGACTGTGGTTGTGTTTATTCCCTGATGCTCATTGTCAGCATTTCCCAAAACCGTGAGGTTTTTCTTCTTTCTGAATTTCATCTCAATCATATTGCCTTCTTATTTTGGATTTTCCTAATCATAATGAAATTTTAGAGTTAGGAAGACACTTAGAAGTAATTTTGTTAGTGAGAAACAAACTTAGAAAAACAGTGTGCCCATTAATGTACATACCTGTCTCACTTCTTTAGACTTTGACAGGAAAATGGTAATTGAGTTTGATTAATGAGTCAAACAACTATAAGCATGACCATCATGGCACCAGTTGGTCATTATCTTTCCCAGGCAAGGTAATTGATGTTTTTCAAATAGGTTCTACACAAGGAAGCAGTATGACTGTTGTGACTATGAAAGATATGAAGTATGAAAGATATATTTTTGTATCTACCAACCAACTTTCAACCAGCTTAAGAACTTGAACATTACCAATACAGTTGACTGTTTCCCTGTCCCTTGCCCAGAAATAGTTTTTATTTTCATGTAGCTCTTTATACCTAAATCCCTAAGTGGTTAATATTCTGAATGTTTGTCTCTTTCCTTCCTTCCTTCCTTCTTTCTTTTCATACTCCCGTCCTTCCTTCCTTCCTTCTTTCTCAACATTATGCTTGTGAGATACATAGATGTAGATCTAGGTCACATGTGCATTCACACTAATTTATTGATTTATAGTTTTTATCTTATCTTATGGATATATCCTTATTTAATCTATTTATCAACTTCTTAAAGGATATGTAGGTTATTCCCCATTTCCATCTTCCTCAACTCCTTTTCAAGAGGCATAATCACTCTGAACAAATAAGATCAATGTGACTATAACAAAATTGGAAAGGAAATGTTTGCCTGTTTAAGAGAACATGATGTTTTAAGGAGTTTAGTACATGTCTTTATATATGAAAAATGTAATCACCATATGCCTGGAAAGCAGCACTATCTAGGATAATATTTTATGAATCAATGTATACCTAAATCTTATTAATTTATTTATTAAAACAGGACTTCCACTCAAACCTTGGTTAGCCTGATTCCAAAGGCAGAATTTACTCAAAATAAAATTTAATTCATTTTCAAATGCACTGTAATGTATGCTTATAATTAGTTTAGAAGGACTTGCATATATATTACTTTATGCTATGCACTGTGTCTGGACATTTTAATTTACTCTATTAAGTTAGCCAACATATGTGAGAAGAAAACTCCCAAATCTACTGCCTCGGCCATGACTCTTCTCCCAGGCATAGATCCCATGTGGCTCCCAGCATAAGCTATAGCCTCTGCACCTGAATGTCTTAATCAGATCTCACACTTAATATGAAAACACCACCTCTTGACCCAACATTTCTTAAAACCTGTGCCATGAACACTAGCTCCGCAGAATATAGTATTAGATAAAATTTTGAAGAAACGGTATGATCAAATAGATTTTGGAAACAGAGGCTGAAATAAGTTAAAACTTACTGTTTTACAACAGCACTTTACTATAGTAATATGCATTATGATTTTCTAACACTTTTTGGACGAAAGAATTTTCGTTTTCTTTTGTTTTGTCTTATTAATTCACAGCACTTCTGAGGACTAGCATTCTGACTAATGTACTTTAGTGGACACTGGTGTAAACAATGAAGAAGGAAAGTTTATTGATAAAATGGTCCCCAAATGACATATCAGTTAGGATATGACCTGTTCATTACACATGGTCTTCAGTAGATTCTTCAAAGTCTCATTGTTTCTGCAATTGCAGCATTACGAAGCACTGCTTTAACACAGCAGACCAAGAGGAGTGGTTAATGGGTTAGCGCCTCTGTGGCCCAATGATTCCATTCTAAATTGGGACCGCAGCCCAATTCTGGATCAAGTAGCTGAATTCTCTCACAGCAGGTAGAGTGATTGCTTTTGCAAATGGCATTCATTTACTCCCTTAATATATGTATACTATAAAATGTCTCTTGGGACTAAGAAGCACAAAGCTAAGACTGTTTTCTCAAGGGAACTGTTTGCAAATTGGGAGTTAATGCAGTCCACAGGTGGGAAAGGGATAAGGCTCTGCTCTCACCTCCAAAGTCTTTGCTGTGGTGCACGAAGCAGCTGAAGCCACAGAAGGAATTCCTGTTACTTTGCCTTTAAGAACTCTTTTCCCCCTAAACTCAAGAAGTTCGCGCTTTCCATAAAATACCACAATCATTTTGCTTTCCATGAAGGAGCTATAATAACCTTTTCCACAAAATCCACCTTGATCCCCTTCCTTCTCATTCTCATGATATTAATTCTCATTTGTGTTGTTTGATCGTTAGGCATAGACTAAAAGTATACAACTGATTTCAACATTTCCTATGATAAAATCAACCATCGGAAGTCATTATAAATTTGGTTTGAATGAAGTTTTCTTAATCAAATTCTCTTACTCTTGCCCCAAAGGAAAGGAATTTGCCATTTTAAAAAACCTTTGACATACAACCATGTTTGTTTTGCTTTTGGAGCTGAGGGGATCTTTTATTACTTTCATGTTTCTGTGTGTAGAAAAGATTAGAGCCATTTGTAAAACTGAAACCAAGACAGGGCATGGCCTCTTCCAGATCACTTTTTTCCTTAAAAACACCAAATTAGATTGATCTGAGGATTTTTTTTCTCCTAGAATATCCTAATTAGAATACTCTTTACTTAATATTTACTTTATATATATAATAGTAACAAATAAATGGAAAAATGATAAATGCACACAAGTAGTTGACTAAATAAATACTAACCAATCATGAGCATGGTGATGTTTCAGAATGATCAATGAGCAGTAAAAATGCTCATGATTTGAAAAATTAGTTTCAAAACAATAGGTAAAGCATGAGATTAATTTTGTTAACTTTAAATGTGCTTATCTATGCATAGAGGGAAGATTGGAAGCAGAGGCCATATGGATATATACATGAGAACACAATAGTTGAAAGCATAAAATTTGGGCTTCCAGGAACTTGAGTATAACTCTGCTCTCTCTCTCTCTCTCTCTCTCTCTCTCTCTCTTTCTCTGTCTGACATTAGGGAAATTAGTTTGCCTTTTGAAGCTTTAGTTTTTTTCAGTCTAAAAGCAGGTTAAATAATAATGCCTAACTATATGATGGTTAGTTGGATTAAATAATACATGCTAAACTCTTAGCATGAAGCAATTACTCTGTAGTGGTAGAAATTATTACTACTTTTTTATTAACAAAATGTTACCTATGGTTATTTGTTGGTGAGGGAGGCCTTGTGACTTATTACATTTTTATGTTTTATCAAAATATATAATATATACAGTGTAAAATTAATATGTATTTAACACAGTATGTATTTAATTAAAGTATATATGAAAAACATATATCTTTACATGATATATATTCATATCTCTTGCTTCTTGTCTCTAAACAAGTTTTATTTCTGATAAAACTGATTCACTTTTATTTGACTCAAATGAGATAAAGAAGGCAAATAGTATTGTCTCTTTGGCACAGGAGAAGAACATAACTCTGAGTAGACCCCAAGCAATGCAGCTGGTCAAGTGTCAAGTGCACTCTGACACTTGAGCCCAAATCTTCGAATTTCAAGTTCACTTTCATTTCTACAAGACTAAAAGAAAAAAAACATACTAATAAGCCTTTATTGAAATAGTATGAAAAACAAAATCAACTAAGAATTACAAATAATGAAGAGGTTCCTGATTGAAGAATTACTTTAAATTTTTTTCTTATTCTTCTCCCTTCTAGCTTTGATCTATAACTAAGGTAAAATCTCTCCTAGCTACTAGTATATGTCTCATTTTTAAATGCTTCAGCTAGAGTGCAAACACACATATCTGAACTGGACATGTGGTGGTTTATTTAATAACAGTATAATTTACTAGTGTGTTTTGAGACTGAGGATTGATTCAGGGTTCTTTATAATATTTCTGAAACTCCAGGGAAACCCTGGAACCTTCCTAAATCTTAGATTACATAAAACTCTGAGGTCAATGAAAAGTTTTGGGTACCTTCAGAACAGAAACTATCTCTTATTTTAAATCGTTAAGAAGGTTCAAACATACCTTATGGTAGTTTATCTGTGGAAATGTAAAAACAACTAAATTTCCTCCTCCTTTGTTTCCTTTCCCAGCTTAAAGGGAGCTGATGCTGGCAATGGGATCAGGGTGTTTGTACCTGACATTGGGATGTTCATTGCTAGTTTGACCATCTGGCTCATCTGTAGAAACATCGTTCAGAAACCAATGACAGAAGAAGCAGCACAGTATAACCTGGAGTTTGAAAATGAAGAATTGGTAAATCCAACTTTATGAATTTTCCTTTGATTCCTGAGTGCCTTGACCCTTAATTGGCTTGGAAGTGTAACAGCAATTACTAAGAATGCACAGTTCTTTAAGCTTTATTGTGCCTGGCTAAAATTTGTGTGGTCCTGATGGGTAGACATTCTCATCTACACTTTGGCCACGAGGAGACAAGTTTAGGGAATGTGAGTGACCCTATGGCCAGGACTTGACCCTTTCAATCTTTCAAACTATCATCTAGTATTAGCTCAAATGGTTAACATTTTAAATTCATAGTATCATGGTCCATTTGTCTAGATACCTTAGTTTTTGAAAAATATTTAGAGAAGTAGTAACACCTAGTATTTTTTGGAGAAAAAAATAATTTAACCTTCAAGGGAAGCTTTCAGGTCTGTGTACTTTGCTCTTGAGAGAGGAGTTGTGTTAACTCAGCATGCTTTGATCAAGTTATTTTAACATGCTTCAGAGAAAAACTATATGCATTTAGAAAAGTATAAGAATTTTTGAAAGTTAAGAAAAAAACGGAGTAAAATGTATGTTAATTTTGAGCTATGTTTTTTATGGGGAAGGATTTCAGGAGAAACTGTTGGATTTGGGGACATGTCAAATTTCATTACATGGTGAATGGGAGCTTGTCAGATAACTTGTCACACTGTATGCAACCTGCTTTGGAACACTGCTACATTCTAATAACTGTAATTTGTTAAGTGAATTTAGGTGACATTGATTTAAAAAGTAATTGATTTAGTAATTGAAAATGAAATTTATAAAGGAAAAAGTTACTGAAAATACTTAATTTGGACATTTGACACAAACACAACTACCAAATATTTTTATTCATAAGCTTTGGCAAGAAACTGAACTTGTAAAACTGGAGTTTTAAGACTTATATTAAGAATAGTTTCCACAAAGACATCAAAAGAAGAAAATTTTTAGCTATGGCAAATGACTTACATGCTTTACAACTAAGCAGCAAACTGCCTTCTATACTTGCATAAACAAAACAATAAATAAAGAGGATATAATTCAGTAAATCTATGCAAACTAAAAATTATATTATTACCCAAAATCCTTACAGATAACAGATATGCAATCACATTGCATATTAATATTCTGCTATTTTTAAGGCAAACATTAAAAAGGTACTTGGTATAAAAAATAATTATATCAAGGTAGCAACTAACCGCATCTTGCTTTCAAGTTTACAACCTATAAATTTGTCAGTGTCCTAAAAACAGATAAAACTATGAAAATGCTTTTTCTTCTTGTTGACTTTACAATTTTAAGACAGAAAATTTTAAATTTTAATATCTATATTTACATTTGAAATTTTTAAATATATTTACAAGTTTGAAAATCATCTAGTTTAAATAATCATTCGCCAAAATTGTCCAAGTTCAGTGAAAGTACCAGTCTTAGGATTTTTTATTTTCATTACTTATAAAGGCAAGCTTTTTTTCCAGTGATCTTCATATCATAGGTAAGGAGTAAAAGGATATTTATTGGAAATTGAGTCGACTCTTATGTCTGACTTAGAAGCTACCTAATGGTGATCATGTGATGCTGAAAAAAAATGTTTATTCTCTCTCCTTCTGCAAAGTGGAAATTATAATAGTACCTATGTCACAGAGTTGTGGGTACTGAATGAAAGTTCAAATGAAAAACACCAAGTGCCACAGTGTCTGCTCCTTTGGGTTGCTCCTCATTTTGTTCTTCTCCAATTCGAGAGGCAGTAGAACAATTTTTAAATTTCAAATCCACAGTCCGCTTAGGATAATAGAAAGTTAAGTTGGATGGTATGTTTAAGGGCAATGCGTTCAGGGGAGAAAAAAAGAACTTTCTGTACCATTTGTAACAGACAACCATGAGTAAATTACAACTTCTTATAAAAAGAACTTTGTCTTCAAGGACAAATGCTTTTTTGCCACAGAGCTAGGAAAACTTATATTGACTTACAGAAGGATCAAAATTAGGTTATAGTTAAGTTCATACATAGCTGGTGAAGAAGAGATACAAAGCTATTACACAGACTAATTCTAAAATCATGTTTCCTTCCTGACTTCAATCAATTCTCAAAGATAAACTTATGGTACCTCACTCCCACTAGAAATTTGTTTTAGGTATCTGTGCCCCATACATTATTAATCATATCATTTAATGATAATAAGAGGAATGGCTACTCTAAACGTTCCTTATCTGGGGCTTTGAAAGTACTAAATATCATCATTATGAGCCTGATTTCTTCTCAGTTAAATTTGTTTTGGCCTAATTTAGATATTAACTTGTATTTTTTTTTCTTAGCATATTCCAGTCTACCAGGTGGCCCAAGAGGACAGGCTGGTGTGTGAATCCGAGATAAGTCCACAAGGAAAATATTTCTTACATGTGAAAAATCTGGTTTGAGTCTGAAAAGAATAGAAGTACACAGCCAAAATAAGCAGGGGAATTTATTTTATTTTGAAGGTCCCAACATATTTCCTGCTGCTTATAAATCTTGGCATTTGTACTCTGGATTGTTTGGTTTTTGGAGGATCCTTTGAAAGAATAGTGTTTACTGGCATTGTTTCTTCTTTCATTTATCTCAGTGGAGCAATGGCAAGATTAATCCACTGGTGCCTGGGAGAATTCCTTTTCAAATCCAGCATTGTTATGAAGTAGCAATTAATCCCTGGAGAGGAATCTTGAGTCTCCCCTAATCTTCATGGATTTAATGATGAGCTCAAGTTCACTGTTTTTAAAGCACATCACAAATCCAAGGATCCCCCCTGAAGATACTAGCAGCAGGTGGAGACAGATTTGCTCCTGCATTTTACAGAAAGCAAACCTTAGTAAGGGAACCAAATCCTCAAGTGCCATAGAAGGTTTTCATCTGATCTATCTGTGGTCTTGTTGGTTTGTTTATTTTAATTCACAAGCAGATCTACAAATCATAACTGGGAGAAAGATTCCTGTTCCTAAATCTTTTTTAAAAAATCAGTTGGGTTATGAAAATTAAATTGTGTAGAAGAAGGTGGCTTGTGCAATGAAACACTATGTAATTTTACTAAACTGATATTAGTCTTGTATATTTCTATCCTTTTAACTTTATCTAGATATTCAATGAGATTTCAGGCCTTATTTTTGAAGCAAATGGTATTTTAATATTTTTAAACCAAATTTATGATAAATTAAATGTTTATTCAAATAGGAATTTGAGCCATGACTTGGTCTACTTAAAGAAGCATCTTTTAAATAGTCTGACAAATCAAATATGAAAAATGAAAAGAATATCCCAGTATAGTCACCCACCATCTGTTAAAACTTCAAGAACACAACATTTAGGTCCTGCTAGTATTATCTGGAAATTCATTCTGAACCTCAAAAATTGCACTGGCCTTTCTAATACCTAAAGTTCTTTAGGCAACCGTGACACCTGCATTCTGTTACATACACTGACCAACAGGGCTGTGGGCTTCAAAGCTCAGCTTTAAGGTTCAAGTAACTGTTTTTTTAAAGAAATAAAGAGTGAAAGAAATCAACCTTTTTATTGTCACCTTTTAATTAGTCATTCAGCATCTGCTCTGTTCTCCCTTGAGATTTAGTACAAAGTCACCCACTTTAAATTTTCTAGATCCTATTTTTTCAAGCACACAGACATCATCTGAAACATTGAACTGTTCACAATGAAAAGAAGCGGGACGGCTGCCCAGTTGCCCTGCAAGCCTTGCACTTTATTACTTTTGCTGCCTCTGCAGGTCACTCTCAGAAACTGGGCAAGAACTTACTGTCATATGTCCCTCAAAATGTAGCACATTTGGCCTGCCTTCTCTGGGTTAAACCCATTTACAGTTTCGGTGTACTTTTAATTCTAGTGATTTTAGATGCCATTAATTTAAATAAAGGAAAGTTTTTACTTGGAGAAAATCATTGGCCTGTTGTCTTTAAGAAATCTTCAGTATTATAGTGTGAGTGTCAGTATGAGTATTTATCACAGAGACTAGTTGGTTTGGGTCCATGACTAACTTTATCCCCCACAATATCTTCCAGCTATATTTCACTAGATACCAGGTGAGAGCATGGATTCCCACTCATTTTTTCTTCTGATAAGGCACCCCTGGGGACATACCAGTATGACAGTCAGCCAAAGGCATCATTGTCACATAGAAAGGCAGGGATGTTATTAATATTAGTAGTAGTAGTATAAATTTTATTTTTAAATTACTGTTTCCATTCAACACTATTTTATATTAGCTTCAGGTGTACAGCACAATCATTAGATAATCACATACACCACACAGTGATCCCCCCAATGTTTCAAATACCCACCTGACAACAAACATAGTTATTACAGTATTATTGACTGCATTCCCTATGCTGTACTTTGCATCCCCATGAATATTTGTGACTACCAGCTAGTACTTTTTAATCCCTTCATCTTTTCACCTGATCCCTAACCTCTCACCCCTCTGGCAACCATCAGTCTGTTCTCTGTATCTATGCCTATTTTAATTTTGTTTGTTTATTAATTTTCTTCTTTAGAGTGAAATCATATGGTATTTATCTTTCTCTACCTGATTTACTTCACTTACCACAATACCCTCTAGGTCTATCTGTGCTGCCAAAAATAGTATGATCTCATTTTTTATGTCCAAGTAATGTTCCATTGCATGAATGTATCACCACTTTTTTATCCACCCATCTATTGATGGGTAGCTGGGTTGCTTCCACTTCTTGGCTATTGTGAATAACACTGCAATGAACACATGGGTGCATATATGGTTTCAAATAAGTATTTTGTTGTTTGGATATATACTCAGAAATTTAATTGCTGAGTCAAAATGCAGTTCCATTTTTAATTTTTTGAGGAAACTCCATACTGTTTTCCACAGTGGCTGCACCAGTCCACATTCCCACCGACAGTGCATTAGGGTTCCCTTTTCTCCACATTCTCACTAACACTTGTTGCTCGTTGATATATTGATGATAGCCATTCTAACAGGTGTGAAGTGATATCT